TTACGCACTAAAGTCTGAACCCTTAAATCCGCTAAGGAAAGTCTCGAAAGAGAACTTAAATTAGCCCGGATTAACCGTCCTACTTTACCAACTACTACTAATAATTATGAAACTAAACTCGACTACTTCCAAACTGCTCTTTATGCTCTCTGTATAGTCTGATTTATCTTAGTCTTAAACCACTCTTGGAAACAAAATCATGCTTAAAAACACCCTCATTATTGCCTTACTAATCTTAGTAATTTATCTCTATTATCAAAAACAAAACCCCTTGGCTAACTTTACCAATCCGGATTCTGCTACTCCCCAAGAAATAGAAGAAGTTAAAAAAGTCAATCAAATCTTCGCTGACTTCTGTAAAAATGAAATCGGTGGTCAAGATATCAATGAAATTCGCACTAAACTAAATGGTCGCACCCTCACTGAAATCTTGGAAGAAAACGAAGACTATGAAACCAAAACCGATGAACTAACTCGCAAAAAGGGTGAACTAGAAGCGGAAATCACCAGTCTCACTACCGCTTACAAAAACCGAGTAAATGAAAAAGAACGACTCCTCACCCGCTTACAAGCAGAAAAAAAAGAACTCCAAACTAAATATAATAAAAAAGCGGAGTCATTAGATGGAGAACAATGTGAAAATAATAAGTTAGTTGAAAAGATCACCAGTTTAGAAGAGAAGGTTAAAGAATTAAACCGAACTAACTTGGAAGAAAGCAAAACGGTGGATGAACTTGCTACTAAACTCCAAACTTGAGTCAAAAAAGAAAGAGAATGAAAAGAGCAATTACGACAAATCAATCTCTTATTTGACCCCCAAGCCAAAGATTATGCCGAAATTGATTATCAAGGTCTCTATACTCTCTTATCGCAAATCGCAGAGAGAGAGAGAGAGAGCAGAAAGAACGACCGATAGGAAGTTCTTGCCCGAAGGGATAGAGAGAGCCAATCGGAAATAAAACCCATTTACAGTAAACTACGCAAGCAAAAAAAATAACATGAACGATCTCTTATTTTACCTCACTATTCTAGCTCTCCTCTACTACTTCTTCTATTACCGACCTCACTCCAAACTCATCAACCCTAACCCTCCTAAATTAACCCATTCCCAATTTACCCAAACTGAACCCACCCAAATTGATAACTCAGAATTAGCCGAGTTAAAAATCAAAAACCAAACCTTAACCACTAAACTGGAGACTAACCAGCAAGATTATCAGAGTAGAATTAACGAAAAACAAACCCAAATTACTAACTTACAAGACCAACTTAGAGAGTTAGTTACAAGACCCTTAAAACCGACTAATTCAAAAACTACTCAAACTGACTCAGCAACTGATTTAACCAAGACCTTAGATACTCTGATTAAAGATATCCAAGCCCT